GACCTTCCCTCATTGTCGGCGATTCGGTGCCTGTACCCATAACAGCCGACGGACTGTTGGACAATCTGTAACCCGATCCACTTCGGTCAACAGTCCCAGATCCTATAAATCCGAAGGGTATTTTTTTTAGAAGAGACACAAGGAAAACCCCAAAAATGAAGTGAGCTGCCACCGGAAAAATTGAGAATTTTAGTGGAAATCCGAAATCTTCCATCTTGGGGCATTAATAATTTACATACTGCAGTAATGTTAGTGTGAATTCACTATTTCGACCTTTTTAGACATGGAAGTAGAAAAAAATAAAAATGCAAAAATTAAAGCAAGGATAAACGCGGGAGCTGTGGATGGCATTTGATGGAATTTAAAAAGGAATCCGCGATTTCCCAACATACATCAGCTTTCATAGAACCAAATTAAAACGCATTCGATGAAAATCTGAATAACCTTGTGCGCCGCTTGTCTGATAATTGCTTCCGTGACTGCCAGAGGCGTACGAATACCCCAGCTGAATATCAGACGTAGGCGCTGGAGACGCTGAAACCGGGACATCCTCACTATCATTTCTCGCCGTAGAAGAATTCCGTCTCTTAGAAATGTCTTCCGTTATCAAGGTCTGTGCTTTTGCTGCTTCCTGAAACAAAATGAAGATAATAATCAATTACAATCACTTCAAGAGTCAACTCCATGGGCGGATCACTAAAAATAAATGCATATTATGGTTTGTTCCCACCCCAAGTTCACTAATTTGATTTTCAAAGGTTCTTTGAAGGATATATTCACCTCTGCAGCTCTCATCGCAGCATGAGTCTCGGCATTCTCTTTCTGCCTCTGTTTTGCAGCTGTTATTCGGGGATCAGTCCAGCTTGTTGTCTTTGTGTTGTGATCGACAAAATAACTAAAGAACACGCAAAATATCTCAATATTTTTCGATTGAAGCGAAGTAAAAATCTTCCATACCATCTCCCATGCAGGGGATCATATCTCATCTCCCAGTTCGGAGGTAATACGGCTGCTTTTGCATCATGAGGGTGCTGCCTATCAGAATGAGGCATGGTAACATCCAAAGACGAGGGAAACGCAAACCCAATAGACACACTAAACGTTACAATATTTGAAGGAGAAAAATAAATTTGTGACGAGTCGCGTGATGACTTACACACAAAGGAATGTATTTCTAAGACATAGAATCCAAAGACGAGGGAAACGCAAACCCAATAGACACACTAAACGTTACAATATTTGAGGGAGAAAAATAAATTTGTGACGAGTCGCGTGATGACTTACACACAAAGGAATGTATTTCTAAGACATAGACAAATACACAAATCAAACCAATGAGCTTTTCATCATAGATTGAGAACGTAACATCCACCTCAAGCAATGAGAACGGTTCGATTGAATACTGACTTCAAACACAGTCACGGCATTGAAACAATTGGTGAACCGAAAGGCAAAGCAACGCGATTTTCGCGGACGGACATCGATATTTCACAAAACGGGAGCAGTCTTATGGCTTGTTCCCAACCTCAAGAGTTTGGAAACATGCACTGCACTTCACAGCACAGCATTTTCCGGGTCTAGTGTACTTTAGCGATGCCAGTTAAACGCACTGTGCGCGTTCAAGCGCGCGTCCATTTTTCAACCTGTGCTGCCCTCTATGTGTACTTTGCTTTCTTACAGCTTCGGAACCAACGCCTCC